TTTTCTTCAGGTAGCCAAAAAAATAATTGTAAGGGGTGAAGTTTATAAAAAACTACATAATTTCCAGCTTACAGCTGTGCGCCTTGGTGAAGCAGTGACGAGTCTAACCTAAACATGTGTAACTGGGTCATCAGCTACACTCTAGCTCACTTGGAGCGACGGTAAAGTGATGAGAAACCTGCTGCTGTGTCAGTGTGGAATAATCCTCTAGATTTATTGTTTGGTAAGAGCAGTGGAAAAATTAGTATATATGTATATACAGAAGTTGGTGTTCGCATAGATCACCTCCGGGTGACATGCAAGGACTGAATGGTGTTGGCATTTTTCCAGAGAGGAAACTGAAGGGTAGAGAAACAGACTAGGAAGAACACTAGAACACTATTTTGGAAGAAAAAAAGTGGCAAGAGCGCACCCTGCTGCAGAGACGGGACACTAAGCGGGAGAGGTGCTGACCCCAGCAGTAAGCTAAGACCCAGGAATGGAAACAGTGAACACGGTTTTTTGCCCATTAGATCAGCAAAACTAGAGCCACTGCTTGACTGCCAAGTAAATACTTTCTTTCCCAAACTGTTCTCCCTCGGTCATCCTTTCCTGGCAAACCCCATTATTCCCTAGCTGCCATGCACCCAAATGTGGCTGAAGAGCGCCCTATTCCCAGGTATTGCTTTATATTTCTCACTGTTGGTTTTTGTTTGTTCTAAGATTCATTTTATTTATGCATACAAGAGCTGGGGTGTCAGGCAGAAGTGAGGAGGTGGGGGGAGGATTCACCAGAGGCAGACTGACTGAAGCACACTGCTGAGGGGAGCAGCGGGCAGACAGGAGAGGGCTGCTGCGCCCTGTGGGCCACCACCCAGACCGAGATGAAACTGGCTGCAGTGGTTGCAACACAGACATATAGCTTCATGGTGCTGAGATGTAACCTCTTGCGCCACCAGAGAGGCCCCTGCATTTCTGACTTTTGTCTTGCAGTTGTCCCCTAGTGCTTTTATAATTGGGGGGAAGTCTCTGCAGTCCTCCTGTGTCTCCCACTCTTCTGGACCCAAGACAAGGCAAACTAGTGCCCAGTGCCAAATCTCACCTGCTACCCGACTTCATGTGACACACTTGAAAGCTATGCACTCTTCAGTGTTTTAAATGTTTTTTTAAAAGATCAAAAGAATGTTTCATGTTGTGAAAGTGACATGAAATTCAAGTTTCATTGTCCATGTGAAGGGTCTTTGGCATGGAGCTCTGCCTTGTTGGCCACGGTTGCACTCAGACTGCCACTGCAGAGTTGAGTACATGTGGTGCTTTCATGGCCTCACTGCTGTCAGCACACCGGCAGTCACAACTGTGCGGTGGTACTTCAGATTTTTCTCTTCCCAACAAAACTTGAGGTACTTTTTATCTAGACCTTTATAAAAAAGCTTGCCAACCTTGGTCTCAAACCTCCAACACCTCTCTCTTCCTCATATTTAAGAGATGACCTTGTTTTCTATTTGACTAAGAAAAGAAGATGCCAGCAGAGAGAATTTCCACTTGCTCCCACCATTGAGTTGCCACTCTGCTCAGCTGTTGCTGTGTAGTATCACCACAGACTAGCAAGCACACGTGTCTGTCTCATGCTGATACTCAGCTGGGAAAGGAGTCTCTTCCAAATCTGTGGTTGTTGGTGGCATTAGCGCCTTTTGAACTGCTGGACTAAGGGCTCTGTTTTCTGAAGCTCCTTGCCACGAGGACCTTTCTCAAGTGTTGCTCCTATCACACCAGCAAGTCTTTCCTTGCATTGTGGTCTCGTGTAATGTATCACATACGTGTCATTGTGTATGTCCTATCACCCTTGCAATGTTTTCTGTTGGTTAGAAGCACCTCCAGGGGAGGGATCACACAAGGGCGGGGATCTTGGGAGCCACAGTGCAGTGTGCTGTGCCTCCCTCCCACCTGGATACCAGCTAGCACCTTTCTGTCTCATTCTGCCTGAAGATGGCTTCTTTCACTGTCCTTCCATGCCAGGTTTTCCTCTGGATAACTGCCATCTTTGTACAGACACGATATTTCTCCCATCTTAATATTAAGACACACTTTCCCCTCTACTTTTTACCTGTTTCTTTGTTAATAGTAAGCCTCTCAAAAGATTTGCCCAGGGCCTCCATGGTAGCACAAGGGGTTAAGTTGCAACACTATGAAGCACAAATGTGATCCCCAGCCAGGGAGCTGACCCTCCTGGCACAGCAGACCTCTCCCATGTCACCCCCCCGTCCCCCTCAGCAGTATATGTCAGTGGATCTGCCTGCTCTGCTCCCCACTCTGTCTCTGGTGAATCCCTTCTCATACATACCTCTGGCCTGCGCCCAGCTCTTATATGCATAAATAAATCTTAAAAAAAATTAAAGATTTGTCCTTACTCCTACTCACCATTATAGCTGCTCTTGTCAGAGCCATTTGTAACCTCCGTGTTCCTAAGCCTCAGCTTCCTGTCCATCAGCATTAGACAGTTGCTTGCTCACTTCTCTGTGGAATGTTGGAAAGGATGGCTCCTCTCCTGGTTTCTGTACTCACTTGATGGTTCCTTCCCATCTGTGGTCAAGGGTCCAGTCCTTGGCTCTCTTCCATCAGCTGACAGCCCATTCCCCTCCATGAACTCACCAGTTTCCTGCCTTTAATACCTGCTCCCAATCTCTATCACCAATTCACTCTCCCCACTAAACTCGAATTTGTATGCCCAGATACCAACTCAGCATTTGGCATCTTCGCTTTAAAGGGTTCAAATCTTTCTTCCCAGCCCTGCTACTCTACTGCCCTCTGCAAATTGGTAAGTGGTTATTTTACCCACTTAACTGGTGAGATGCCTTCAAGCCACCCTGCTCACACATGTGCTTTCTAATACTCTCCAGCAGAATCATTTCGGAATCAGGGACTCATCCCTTCCCCATGACCTCTATCCAAATCACCATTCCTTCTCCGCACCAACTACCAGCCTTCCTGGTTTCTCTGCTCCCACCTTCCCCCTGTGCTTAGTTCCCAACCGAGCAGCATACGAGCTCTTTCTAAAACTTGAGTCACGCCACTTAGCATCCCACGATAGCTCCCAAGATGCCTCATGATCGAAGGGCTCTTTCTTACTGCCCCACCACACAGCAGGAACTCAGTAGGAGTCCAGTAGGTGAATCATCTGGTGACGTTGCACAGAAGGGATAGCGTGATCAGTGTGTGTGGTGCACACACACCAGGGCAGAGGCTAGAGTATGTCAGGAGGAAAGTGGTCAGAACTCTAACCTGAGTAAGCAGCAGGGCAAGCCAGGCATTTTGAAGGTAGCAGGTGAAGCCTCAGTGCTGAGGGACTCTTCACCACTGGCCCTTGGCAGACAAAGCAGGTTATCAGGCAGGGCGCTGGGCACACTTTCTGTGTGAGCTCCTGTGGGTAGGAGCTGGTGGGCCTCCAGCAGCTCCAGCTTTTGCCCTTACCTGCTGATTCCGCGGTCATATGCCTTTTCCCAACAGCAGGCTGAGGCAGGTGTGCTGAGTGTGTCTGCTTTGTTACAGCGCGGGAGCAGGACGGACGGGGACCTTCTGTGCCCTGAGCACAGTCCTGGAACGGGTGAAAGCAGAGGGCATTTTAGATGTCTTCCAGACCGTCAAGAGCTTGCGGCTGCAGAGGCCACACATGGTCCAGACACTGGTAAGCTGCCCCCGTATTGTCTTTGCACCACACTCTTTGCAGCCCCTCTCTGTCGACGGGAGTGGGGGGGGGCACTCTTCCAAGGGCCAGCTGGTTGTCAGACGACTGTAGCCCCAAACTAACAGCTTCGGAAGACAGGCCACCCTGTCAGAGAGGCTGAAGGAGCTGCCTGAGAGCCCTCCAGAGCTCATCTGCTCTCCCCCTGAGTCCTGGGTAGGGAACTCACGTGCTCCCTGTCATTGGTCTGACCGCAGTCCAGTCTCTGGTAGCCACTGAGTATGGAGCGAATATCCAAAAAAGGCTCTTTCACCCTGTGAAGCTAGAACTCTGAGTCAGTAAGTATGAAATGGTCTGGGGGTTGATGAGGCTTTTAAAATTGAGGCACCTCCACCTGTTGGCCATGGGGAGGTGAGGGTCACACCTCCAGCTTCCCAGTCTGCCAGCCCACTCACATCTGAACGCTTCAGGCCTAGGGCCATCAGATGCTGACAGGCAAATCAGGGCTCAGGAAAGTCCAGAAACACTGATTCCCCTGGACTTTTTATGTTGCCAAAGCTATTTGGAACTGCAGGCATTGTGTGCTTTCTCGTAACCCTGGCTTTTTCCTCGATTTTACTCTCCAGGAACAGTATGAGTTCTGCTACAAGGTGGTGCAGGAATATATTGATGCATTCTCAGATTATGCCAACTTCAAGTAAGAGGCGATGAGACCCCCATGGACAGAATTGCCTTTAATATTTTGTAATATTCTGTTTTGTTAATATACCCAAAATCGTGTATATATCTTATAACTGTTTTAGAAATTGGTACATAGGCTTCTATTACCTATTAGGTGGAGATTTTATATGTAAATGTGTTAGCACTGATAGTCCTTTTTCCAATGTTTTATTGGGGAATTAAATAGTGTGATGTTTGGATTGGTATCGTGAAATCATCTGCCTGGAAATTGGGCTATATTGTTCTTTGATTCATACATCTGTTCCTGAAGAAACACAAAACCCATTCCAGGTAGCTTGTCATCAACTAAGTTTTTAAAAGCACAAAGTTCTCAGAGCCCTTGGCAGATTGGATGTCCCAGCACTCCTGTTCAGACTCCTGCCCCCTCCTGCTCTGTAAATAACCCCCTCCCTCTCCATCCGGCCCCTCTCCCACCACCCACTCCAGTGGCGCTAAAGGACTAGAGCGGTATCTCTGGCACCACACTAGGGATTATCAGGTAATAAAAGCTTTGACTCCCTGAGGAAACGTTTCTCCCTTTGTCTGGGGCGGGGCAGCCACACTGGGGCTGGGCCCTCTGCTACTGTTCTGTCTGGATTTGCCGCAGAGAGGGGCAGGCCTCCCGACTCCTCTCCCACAACTAGAGCACCCCCAGGTCAGGACCAGCCTTGCTCCTTGAGAAGGCAGCCAGGCATGCCGGAAGGGGCCCAGCTTTGAGACCAGTGACCTCTTCATTCCTGGTGCTTCACTAGAAAACTGGATTGTATCATCCTGTCCAGAATAAGTCTTTGTATCACAGTTAAGATGTTAAATAGCTTCCCTTTCATGTCTGTCCTCATGTCCGGGACTTATGTGGAAGTTACCTCCATAGGCCAGGATGGTGGAAGTCTTAGATCCCAACTTGATTTCAACCTTGGTATGTTAGACACAAGTGTCTAACTCTCGTGTCTTCAAGTGAGATGTTAATTTATATCTCGTGTAACAGCTCAGACCCAGCATCCTCCATCTCATATTCCAGTGTCCCTTAGGATTTTATTCTCATCCTCATGGTTGAAACCAGGTCACTGTCCTTTCCCAGGGAGAACAAGCAGCTGCATTTTTTTGTTTCCTTTCACATCCCGCTAGCTAAAACCTAGTCATAAGCTATCCCCAGCTATAAGGAATACTGGGAAAGCAGCCTTCAGTTGGGGCCACAGTGGAGAGGGTGAGTCTGCCGCCTCCTCGTAAGCCCCTCGTCACGGGAGCAGGAGAGTAAACTGGTTGCTGCGCCGTCAGTGCAGCGCTGAGTGCAAAGGCCAGTGGAACCTATCACCGAGGCCTCGACATCCAGCGAATGAGCCAGGAGTGCGGCTTCCAGATGGGAGCCAGCTACTCAGTGTCGGGTGGCAGGGCGTTGTGACACAACCCATAGAAGTTGGCCGGAGGCACCAGCCTCACACTCCCAGTGCCCAGCGGTTCGCCCGGCCCCTCCTGCCGCCTGCCCAGCAGCTTACCCCCTCCCCTCCCACTATGCTCCAGCCCTGATGGTTTCATCCTGTGTTGGCTCCTCCATGTTGGGCTTTAGCCTAACACCCTGCCCTGTTTCTACAGCCCCAGCTAACTCATCTTCACCTGAGGCCACCTGGTCAGCAGGGTTACTCCAGCAGAGCCTGAGCTGACGACAGCGGCTCCCAGGTGTGCCGAGGGCTTGGCATTAGTTAGACTCCACAGGTGAACAAATGGCCTTCTGAATTCTGCCAGAGGGCTGGGAGGGAAAGGCCTGGCTACAGTTACAGACTGGAAGGAGACCACAAGCAGTCCTGGAAGGCCAAGTCTGTTGCCAGAGAGAAAAGGAGACAGAGCTTCCCGAGGGAAGCTAGCTCTGATTTGGGTTCTACAGGAAAAACTATAAATTACAGAGATAATAAAAGCACCCCATTCCTCTTTTAAAATGAACACCAGCAGCTTTGAATAAAACATTTTCTATTTCTAAATCAGAACTAAGCTAGTTTGTTGAACTTCATCCTTTTCACTAAACCACAAAGCAAATGTTCTAAAAAATGACTAGGTAACCCTACATAGAGGAACAAAAATCTGTGTTTCCCAAAACAACTGTGCATACAACGTACACATTCATCTCACGTTTCTGCTAAGTGAATAAGATCACACCCACCCCACAGGATCTGACGCACCCGCCCCTCCTGTGCCAGCCACAATGCCAGGCCTGACCCCAGCCCTCGCATTCGCCCTCAGCCCAAATGCGGAGATTGGCTATTAACCCTGCAAACAGGCCTCTGCCCCAGGAGGCTGGTGGCTGGCGCTAGAAGGCTGAGCTGACGCAGACTGAGAGCGGAAGTCTGTTCCTAGGTCCCAGGGCAGCTGGGCCAAATCCACGCATAGTCCCCGGTTAAGCACAGGATGGTGAGGGTTGGAAATTGGAGAGAAAGTTACCAGCACAGAGGGTGCACTGCCCCCACAGCTGGGGCCCGCTAGGAGGGCAGGAGACCACATCTAGACAGGCTGGCCTCACACCCACCTCCACCTGGCATGGCCCAGTCTTCTGTCCAGGCATGTGGCTGAGGACTATGGCCCTAGCCCACCTTACAGGCAGACAAGTCCTCAGGAGAATGGGCCTGGCCTCCCCCAACCTCTCACAGGCTGGGGGGGCTCCCTACTCTTCCACTGAGACCTGAGCTGGGTGGGGCTTGCCCCTGTTCTGGGCCCCTAATTCCTTTTTGGCTTAGTGAGGGTTTTCTCAGCCTGAGGGCAGATGGTTGAGAAAGAGCCTAGGGAGTGGGAAGATGAGACTTGAGGCAGGACCAGGCTGGAGCAGGAATCCTGTGATTTGTCTCTGGGAAGACAAGGGCAGGGATCATCTGTCTGGTGACTCCAGCATCTGTCTGGTGACCCCAGCACTTGTGGCTGACACCCTGGAAGGGAAACGGGGCGGGGAGGGGGCTGGTGGCCAGGAGCTGGGGGTGGAGCTGCCTGATCAATAAATCCCAAGCTCTGTCTGGAGTCCTGCCACCACCTGGAGGAGCCACTTTATCCACAGTTCTCTGGTAAGTGAGCAGGCTGATCCCCCCAAAAAACTCCTGGATGGGGCTCCACCCTGGGTGCTTGGCTCACCGTTCCTCTCCCCCTTCCAGTCCTACGAGGAAGCCAGGCCCAACCTCTCTTCCTGGGCTTGCTGCCCCTAGTGTGGGAGGGCAGCACACCCAGCCCACAGACCCCTTGCGTGCTGCCACTGTCCACAGGGACAGCTCTGCCATGGCTGGCTCCCAACCGGGCCTCCTGCTGCTGCTGCTGCTGCTGCTACTGACCACCCACCCAGGATCTTCAAGGGCCCAGCACTGGTCCCATGGATGGTACCCTGGAGGAAAGCGAGCCTCGGGCTCACCCCAGGACCCCCAACGTGCCCCTAAGCTGCCAGGTGGGTGATGGGCCTCCCTAGCCTGAGTGGGAGGAGGCGGTGTTGGCTGAGGTGCCTTCACACCTAGAGCTCGGGGTGGGCTTGGGGTAGGCGGTATCCTCCGCCCCTTTCTGAGGGAGGGTCCTGGCTGCAGCAGGCAGGCCTGGCCAGGTTACCCACAGCCTCCCAAGCGATGCCCTGCCCACCCCTGAAAACAGTGTGTCCTGGAAGAGCAGGACCGAGGCCCAGTGGCCCCTCCGCGAGAGGCAGCACCTAAAGCAGACTCTGCCGGTAAGCAGGGGGAGAGGGTGTTTGAGATGCCCGCCATAGCATGCCATCTGCTCTCTCTCCCTTTTCCATAATTCTAGACAGTTTCTAAAATACTTGTGTTAAAGTAAAAGATTAGGAGCCACTAGTGGAGTAGAAGTAACTACTAAAACCTCCATAAACAGACACTGGGCAGAGGTGGGGCCCGCAGGAAAGACCCTCAAGCGTGGGTGGTGGTCACCGCCAAGGCACCAGGAAAGCCTGAGCGGTTGCAGAACTCTCCAAAGCCAGAGCAGAGGCCAGGTGTGGGGAGTTGGCCGCCTGCTAATTGTCAGGTTGGATTTCAAAGTGGACCAGGGGAGCACTGTCAGACGGGAAGAATTAGCAACTTCTCTAAGGCAAGACCTTACCACCTGATTTAGGCTGATGGGAGCGCAGGTTTTCAGATCAAGCTTGTTATGGGCGGGTAATGCCCCCTGCCAAGGAGCTAGACAGCCCCCAGCCTGGGTCCTCCAGGAAGCCGGGACCAGTGCGGGGCGCAATGACCAAGCCCTTCCCCCCTCCACAGACCGGACTCCGAGCACCACGCCCCGTCACCCGCCAATAAAGATGTGAGGTCCCAAACTGTTGTCTGAGTTCTGTCCTTTCCCCGTCCCTTTCAGGTGTGGGCCCTTAGGGGATGAAGGCCCGGCCCCCTGGCCGGAGGGGGTGGGAGGGACAAGCCCCGCCGGGAAGGTCGAGCCAGAGCCAACTCCTGGGCGGGGCGTGGACAGAGCCCGCGAACTACATTTCCCATGGTGCCGCGCGGCCACATCCGGGGCCCGGGAAAGCCCTGCAGCCGGCCGCCGGGCGCCCTCGGCCATGCTGCGCGCGCTGAGCTGCCTGGGTGCGCGGCCCGGCTGCCGGCCCCCTGCCCCGCTGCTGTTGCCCGCGCGGGGCCGCAAGACCCGCCATGACCCGCCGGCCAAGTCCAAGGTCGGGCGAGTGGCCCAGGCGCCTGATGTGGACCCTGCGGAGTTCTTCGTGGTGGCGGAGCGTTACCGGCAGTACCGCCAGACGGTGCGCGCGCTGAGGTGTGTGCGCCCGAGGGCAGGGCGGCCAGCGGCGCCCCAACGGGGTGGAGAGGGTTCTTGGGGTGCGCGGAGAAGGTGCCGACTGGGGTCGCGTCTGCGCCCAGGGCGGAATTCAGTTCCGAGGTGCGGAAGAAGATGCACGAGGCGCGGGTCGGGGTCCAGGCAGAGCGCAAAGCCCTGGAGGACGCGACTGAGCACAGCGAGCTGATGGCCTGGAACCAGGCGGAGAACCGGCGGCTGCACGAGCTGCGGTGAGCGGGGGCGGGACTGAGCCGCCTGACCCGCGGGGTGGACTCCGCGCTCAGTCTCGGCCCTCGGCCCTCGCCCCTCCCAGGATGGCCAGGCTGCGGCTGGAGGCGCGGGAGCAGGCGCAGCGGCTGGAGGCGGAACAGGCCCGTCGGGCCCAAGAGGCGCAGGCCTGGGCTCAGCTCAAGGAGCAAGAAGTGCAGCAGCTGCAGGTCGGCAGCAGGGGCTGGAGGGCGGCGACCGGGGCCCAGGGACTGGGGCAGAGAGCGAGCGAGTGCAGACTTGGGTTTTTCAAGAACAGGCGAAGAGTTGGGAGAGAAGGGGCGTAGCCAGTAGGGGTCACTTGGGTCCAAGTGACCAGAGGTGAGAGCTAACTGGGGAGGGTTCCAGTGGCTGCCAGGTGCCTGTGGGACCGCCCCCGTGCTTCACAGGGAGTTTGGGGTTTGCTTTATGGGTGATAAAGTCATTCAAGGGTTAAACGTGGGCCAAAATGGCCTGTCCAGCGAGAGAGGATGAGGTCCAGTTAACGTGACATGAGGGGAAGGGTGATCACTGTTTGAGAGAGACCCAGGCCACCTAGTGGGGCCGCACGTGCCGCGGCCGGTGGCCTGGGTGCTGGCTGAAGTGTCCAGGTAAGAAAGGACGAGGCAAGCTGCCTGATGCCCGTCACCGGAGGGTCCACCCAGGCAGCCGTCCCCAGGGGAAGCAGAAGCCTCTCCCTCAGTGGGCTGTGCGAGCAGGCGCAAATGCCCAGCACCCCTCTTCACCCGACCCTCTTTCTCCCAACAGGAGGAAGTGAAGACCTTCATCACCCGAGAGAACCTGGAGGCAAAGGTGCAAGCTGCTTTGGACTCCCCAAAGAGCTACAACTGGGCGGTCACCAGAGAAGGGCAGGTGGTCCGGCCACAGCGCCAGGGTCCCTAGGGACCCAGGAAGGAGAACAGCTGCCCAGGGACCAGTGTGTATGGGGATAGGAGGGTGGGCCCAATCTGGAATAAAGTTGGTGTTTAATGAAGAAAACGCAGCCTCGTCCAGTTTGGCTCTTAAAACTTCTGCCCCCTGCACTTACACTGGAGGGGCAGCACCCGCACAAACACCCTGTGCTGCCCGGTGTACAGCGCCTAACACAGTGCCAGGCCCCAGAGCTGCCCTCCTACACAGGAGCAAACTGGGCTGTGGCGGGGTCACCTTCTGAGCAGCGTCAAGGGCAAGTTATAGTCTGGGCCAAATCGGGCCTGCTGCCTGGTTTCATAAATAACATTTTATTGCAGCAGTGCTGTACCTAGCTGTGGACTACATGCTAGGGCAGAGATGAGTCACTGAACAGACTCATCCGCTGGGCAGAGTCTGAAATATTTGTTAGGTGACGGTTCACGGTCAGCTCTTGCTGACCGCTTTAGGGCTCCAGGTGGGAGCAGGTATCACTTAATACCTGAGACACAAGCTAACCACTGGCCAAAGACCTGCTTCTGTTTGATCCTGGGCTTTGCTGGCAAAGGTTGTGCCCTAGAGAGCCAGGAAACCCCGCTTCAGTGCCCTTCTCTGCCCATGGCCTCAGAGATTCACTGCTGCCTGGCGCTCCCAGCTTCCTGGACCACACAGCAGGTGGATGCTGGCAGGTTTGAGTTGCCCTGGCTGACTAAACCCAAGTGTGGCCTTGTGAAACCCTGTGGGCACTGGAAACACTGGGGGTCAAGTTCACACAGCTGAGTAAGCGAGCACAGAGACCCGCAGCCTACATTCACATGCAGGCCGTGAGGCAACCTCTGAGGGGAGGCCGAAGAGCTGTGACCTCCACTGAGGCAAGGAAAGTTAACAAGTTCCAGCATTTCAGTTACTTCCTGACCTGGCAAAATCTGGGGTTATCTTTGTTTTTTGATAATCTTCCCACTACTGTCAAGGGGAAGACATGAGATCGCATTCTGGGCCACTCTGCCGGCCTGTGACCGTGCAGGTGTTTCTCTCCACAAACCGCCCTGTGCCGAGCAGGAGCGCTCTCGCCACCTGCAGCGGCAGGGCCTCTTGTTCCCTCCTTTTCCTAATAAGCCTGCCCTTTTACAATGAAAAAAATCCATAAAAATAAAATGACACCTCATGGCTTCCTGGCCCCTTTGGTTGATAACAGAAATAAGACTTCACAAAAAAATCTCCAAGAAGGGTGAAGTGGGGAAGGGGGTCAAAAACTGGGGGGAGGGAAGTGCCCTGGACTATGGTGATGGCAAACGGGTGACTTGGTGATGGGAAGCCCAAGGGGATTGCAACTGAGATGGAAAAATGCACAAAAATATGTAAAATAAATACTATAAAATTAAAAAATCTCCAAGAAGCCCCTCTCTGGTGGCACAAGTTAAAAGCGCAGCACTATGAAGCTCTCCGCTGCCCTGCAGCTCAAGTTCAATCCCCAACCAGGGAGCTGACCCACAGGGCGCGGCAGACCTCTCCTGACCCGCCCGCTGCCCCCTCAGCAGTGTGCTTCATCAATCTGCCGTTCTGCTCCCCGCTCTGTCTCTGGTGAAGCCTCTCACCTCTTACCCCTCCCCCTAACACACACCTCTGGCCTACATTCTTGCTCTTGTATGCATAATTAATTTTTTTAAATCTTAAAAAAAAAAGTTACTGAGAGTATGTGGCTCCTGGCCACATACTGGTGCCGTCTGCCCGCGCAGGACCCCAGCCCGGCTCTTACTACCTGGGAGGCCTTGACACGGCCTAGCCTCTGTGTCTGTCTCCAAAGTAAAATGGGGACAGTCTGGGTGTCCACTGTGGTGATGAAATGAGACATTTACTTAAAACTAAGCTCAGCAGCTGGGGTACAGCAAGTGCTTAAAACATGTTCCCCGTCATCATTGTTCTTAATTAAACTTAAAAAGTATCTTTGAATTCAGACACAGACCAAGATGAATAACGGGCTGGGTGGAGACCACAGTCTGCCCTGCAGCTCCCCTGTCCTCCAGCAGAGGGCAGTCTCACCAACACTGGGACGGAGCCCTCAAAAGTGTAAAAGGGAGGCTGGAAATTGACTACATATTAAAAAGAAAGAGAAATGACACAGAAGCCTAGGTAAAGCTGCCATCTACCTCAGTCTCCCTGAAAACCACACTGCCTCAAATCAACTGTATAAGCATTTGCAGTCTCCTTTTTCAAAATAAGTTGCAAGTAGGACACTTCATGGTCTCTAAATCCTTAAATATGTATCTTTCCACAACAAAGTCATTCTCCAACACAACCAGAAAGCTGTCCTCTACCCAGGAAACCAAACAAGCCCCCTTCTCATTGCTCCCTCCCAATACCTCCGTTCTGTTTTCTGCCTCTCTGACCCTGGCTGTTCTAGACACCGCATGTAAGCGGAATCACGCAGATTTGTCTTTCTGTGACTGGCTTTTCCACTGAGCCTCTCGTGTCTTCCTAATGGTGCACCAACGTGAGTCACTGTCAAGAGTCTCCTGTAAGACTGAAGGGAAACGAGGAGGCGATAGTGCCGTGGCTCAGGTTAGGCCTAAAGCCGCCACAAATGGACCAAGCAGAACAAATGTGACCTTCATGGGCTTCCCGGTTAGTTCAGTCTTGGGGGAGCCACAGCCAACTTGTGCCTCGCAAAAGCCCCTGTGCGTCAACTGTGTTCATTAAATGCACAGCGTGTCCACTCAACAGAGGACTCCCGGCCAAAACCGGATATGAATGCCTACAAATCCATTCAGAAGGACAAGAGAGCTAGAAGAAAACCTCAAGAGAAGCTATGCAATTGTCCAGTAAACTGTAAGGATCGGACCCTCCCTGGTGGCACAAGGGGTTAAAGCGCAGCACTGTGAAGCTGTCCACAGCCACTGCAGCATGAGTTCGATCCCCAGCCAGGGAGCTGACCCACATGGTGCGGCAGACCTATCTCACCCGCTGCTCCCCTCAGCAGTGTATTTCAATAGATGAACCTGTTCTGCTCCCCACTCTGCCTCTAGTGAATCCTCTCACCCCCTGCACCTCTGGCCTGTGCCCCAGTTCTTGTGTGCATAAATAATTATAAAACTGTAAGGATACTTAGCCATTTGTTACTGGGGAAAATTAACAATTTAAATGAGGACAACTCTAAGCCAGAGACATTCTACAGGGAAGGGGAGGAGAGGGGAACAGGCCAAAATGGGGATGGGTAGAGCACATGGGACTACGGTGATGGCACATGGGTGAAGCGGTGGTGGGAAGTCCACAGGGATTACAGTAGAAATGAAAAAATGTACAAAATGAATAACATAAAAATTGTATAAAATAAAAGGAAAAATCATGCACAGTATTCTCACTAGTCAAAAAAAAAAACATAATGAGGCAGACACCCGCTAGAATACTGAAACCTAAAAGGATGGCTTTACGGACTCTGGAGCGACGGGAACCTCCATGCGTGCTGGATGTGAACTGGTACAACTCCATGAAAATTGACAGTATTTCTAACCAGACCATACACACACCATGTGACCCAGAAGTCCACACATATCCATATATCAAGAGACATACATTATCCAATTTATATATCCATTATCCAATATTCCCATTATTCAATACCAGAGACATTGTAAGGTGCACCAGTCACAGCAGCCTCAAACCGGAAACAGGCCAGATGTCATTAACAGTCGAATGAAATAAATAACTTTAGGCACTAGAAAATCAGAAAGCAATGAAGTTAACTACTGCGCCATAAGCAAACATCACCTTTGCAACAGCATGTTTGGATGATGAGGGACTTGGGACTCAGGAGGAGGATGACAGCTGAGGCCTTCCCAGTGCTCAGGCCAAAGCCTGCTGATTCCTTTTTCCTCTCGCCCATCTATACCCAGCATGAGCAAACCACCCGTAAGTCAGATCCCTTCTCCCATCTCGGCCCATCATCTCCCACAGGGGCCACCATGAGACCTCCTGACTCCTCCTCCCCTCTGCCACCGCCTGGTAATATATAAACCTAACCGCATTCCTCCTCTGCTCCAACCCCTCTGGCTCCTTCACTCCAGTTGGCCCTCTGGGACCTCATCCCACATCGCCGTTCTGACCCCAGGACTTCAGTCACTCCCCCACGGCAGTGGCTTCACTGCTATTCCCAGAACATGCTGGACAGTCCTGCCTCAGGACTTTTGCACATGTTCTTTTTCCTCCCCCTCCCTGGGAGGCAGAATCTAGGATGGGCCTGTGACTCCCATCCCCTGCATCCACACCTTGGTAATCACCTGTCACACATGGGGAGGGCCTGTCACTTTCTTCCAACCATCAGAAGAATATGGCAAAGGTGACAGGCTGCACACGCCCCCCCCACACACACACACCCCATGACTGTATTACACTGCAAGGGAAAAGAATTTTTGCAGAGGTAATGAAGGCCCAACTATCCAAATTCATTGGTTTGACTTTGAGTTAAAAGGGTGGTGGTCCTGGTGGGCCTGGCCTAATCAGGAATGCCCCTTGTGAAAGGGACTTGGGGACGTGAAGGTCTCTCTGATGGCCTTGGAGAAACAAACCACACTGAATCCTCCAGCTGCAAGGAGCTGACCTCTGCACCATCTCCTGGGTCTAGACGGCAGTGTAAGGCATCTGCAGGGCACCACACGCACCCCTCCCCCCACTCCAGGACCCCTGCTGAGACCGGCCCAGACTCCTGAGGATTACAGTTAGCTACTAAATGTGTGATGAGGTGTTAAGTAGCAATAGAAAAAACAAGTCCCTGTTAGGTATCTATCTTTACTCACCCTCCAAGGACAGAGGTCATCTTCACAAAGCCTCCTACACACCCTAAAGAAAAGCACAACAGCCTCCCTTTTCTTCCATAGCACCAGCTGCCTCCTAGACGACCAAAATGGACGCTGCTGAGCACCTCTCCCTGTCCCTCCACCAGAACACAAGCCCCTGAGCACCGGGACTTTTGGTTCAGGAAGTTTCTGAGACTGGTGCATCCTCAGCTGAGGAGGTGATGGACAGAGGGCAGAGCACTGGCCGCGTGGCACCTCTGTGCTGAGCGGGTGTCTGTGCCCTGGTGACTTGGCT